CCCGCCCCGCGGGTTGAACTTCTATACCCACACCTTTACATTAGAAGTCCGTCGAATGAACGTACCTGAATAAGGGAACATGCTCTGGACTCGAGTCGAGAATGGCCGAGAATTGGTTTAATTGTCCGGCGAGAAAGACCACGCACGGGTGGGCAGGTTGCTAACGGAACTATACCATAGGTGTTTCGAACCATATGGAAAGACCTTCGTAATTTGATCTTGTTTTTTCGTTGTGTCTATTATTGAATTCGAATAGAAGTGTGATTAAATTGACAATTGATGGACCTGGGTTACAATACTATCGGATTGTATTCGTGATCAGATGTCAGAAGAAATACCCGAGGGCTACCAGCTGTCAATTATATGTAGCTAGCGCTGTGATCCTTCTAGACTGCTTAGTTACGGCTCCAGCTGAGGTCTGTAGGGCGAATCTCCACAATTATGCTGCTTGTCTAACTCCATATGTAGGTATTACCAACTAGTGGCCGTACTCAACACTAGACAGTGGTCCAGGTTTCAATAATCAAGTCTGTAGCTACATTCCAGATACTAATTCGGCTCTATCTAGTCCAAAAGTCTAGATAACACCTTCAAACATGGGGTCAGGATAGTGTAGTCTCCGCTGGTGGCAATGATCTCAATGGTATCCTATAAAGAGCAAGACCTGGCGACTCTCGCCTCGAAGACTAGGTTCTTTTCCCAAAGTCTATCGGGGACATAGCATTGTTTGCCGCTTACACTCGCTTGTTCGTTGTATCTATTAGGATTTCAAAATGCAGAGGCAGTTTTTCATCGCTCAGCTTTTCACTTGGGCAGCATCAGCCAAGCTGAGTCTTACTTTGACCCACAGCTCAAGCATAACAACCTCGGTGCAATGTGCCACACAGCTGCAATGCTCATCCGCAAAAGGGTCTATTCCAACGACGACTAAAACCACTCAGCTGCTACCAGATGTTGTGCTTGTTCTAACCAAGTCAACTCCAACGCTCTCTGTTACTCCTTCACCGGTTCTTAGCTTCGAGACTCAAGTCGAGACAAGTACTGTGACGATATCGGACGCTGCTGTCACGGATACATTTTCGACGACATCTACAGTCCAGATATTGGACACTATTACTACCCAGGTCACTTCAACGACCACGGAGACTGACATTTCGACCTCGACGTATACCCAAACTGTCACTATCGAGCCCAGCCCGGGCTTTGTTCCCGTTGACCAGTCAGCTGGTACGAGCAATTATGGGGCCAAGGTCAAGAGGATGGGAAACCCTCACGGCAGTGAACTTCGCGCACGGGGACAGAAGTATAAATCTCAGGACCAATGCACTTTCGCAGCTGCTGTAACATGTAAGCTGAATAGCCTTTGTTCTAGCCCAACGTAGAGCTTACATTAAATCCAGGCACCGATTACCTTCAGCCCCAGTGGACAGAAGAGGTCATTATCGTCATGCCTAGCGTGACTACAACTCTGGCGCCATCGACTATCGTCTCTACCGTCACATCAACGGCGACCAGCACTTCCACTCTTGTACCCGCCCACGTCACGGAGACTCTTAGCTTCACGGCAACGGAGTCGAGCACAATTACCATAACTAGCACCGAAATTGACGTGAGTTCTGCCTACTGATTTGTGCTTCCTTGGCAACCTAATCATGTTGAGTATCACTGGCTAACCCTCGCTCTAGACCACCACGACGAGTTCCTCCGTAGTAGCGACCGTCACTGCTAACTATTACGCGGCTTGCGGTCCTGACAATCTGCTGGGCCCACAGGTTGCCGATGGCTCGTACATAGACTCGTGGATCTATGTCGATACTCCTTACGACATGTACTTCAGGGCCTCGTCAGCATACGACTGCTGTGTTGCGTGCATCACCAATCCAGTCTGCCCGTACTCATTCTGGCAAAATGGACAGTGCACGGCGCCTCAGAATGAACAATGTTCAGATAATTATGTGGCGTATATCAGCACGGACGAGACGAACCGAGATGTAGTGGTGTCAAATGGATATTGTGGGAGCATCTCGTTGTAGAGGGCGAGAGAATCTTTGCGACAGAATGAGGTGCGCCAATAGCTGAGGAATCAGAAGGATGATCGGCATTGCTAAGTCAGAGTTCTTGTTAGCGAGAAATGTATCTTGTAATGCGAGAATACAATATCATGCTGTATCAGGTATTTCAAAAGCAGGAACTCATTGATCGGCTGTCTCCTGGAATGGCATTGGCTATGTTGTAAATGCGCTATCCGGGCTTTCGTTCAGCATCGCAAGATATTTTCCTACATAGCAGCTGTTAGTCCTTTGGAAGCCCTCTGGAAATAATGACCTCATACCGGCGCCGCACCACCGCCTGCTGACAGTCCGCAGCATAGTCTCCATTGCGCTCAGAGAGCTCCAGATTCCATCGTCATGAGTTTCCCGATAGAGACGACGCTGAGCTCTTATTCCAAGATAAAGGGAGTACGGCACAAACGGAGAGAGCGCATTTATGTCGACGCTTGTCTCCACTGAGTTATTGAAACGTTTAGATATGCGGGTAATAAGGTCTAATGTACGTCGTAGCGCGGACTTTGGCTTGAGATCTGGTCCGTCAGACCCTGGGGACAAGTTTGGATACGTGTTATAGAGTGTAATGAGGGCACTGTGGGCCACTAGTCAGTATCATTGAGAAAGTCTGGTGCAACCGGATATCACCGATAGGAGAAGCAATACCTAAAACAAAGTCCTATAGAGCCGCAGTATCTGGGCCATGGTTGTGGATCTTCTTCAGGCAGAAGCCTGATATAGGCCTCTAGCGCTTGGGCAAGGAGTTTCGCTTCCTCAGCATTGAATGCTTTGTCTGTAGTAGGTTGGTGAAGGTGGGTGAGCAGGCGGTCTAACAGGTGAGAAATTTGTGCTTGTCGTGCGAAAGCGCCCACTCGCATGCTTGATGGCGTAGAGAGATCAAGGAACTCAGAATGCTCAAGGTTTCAGTTAATGTCTAAATTCACTTGATTGATGATATAGCTACAAAGTAGGGGATGTTGCTTACCTCCGCGTAGTGGGTATTTTGCTCTCGTGGCAGTTGGTTGGGCTGGCCTAGATCTTGTGTAGCAGTTGATTTTGTGATGTTGCGTTCGATGGCATGGCATCTATGATAGCATCAATAAGTTTACAATGTACGAACACGTCATTTCTCAACATGTAGCTTACCTATCCAGTGTCACGATCCCCCACCAGAGCCTCAAGTCTTCCTCTGACCCGACCCTGTCTGAGCATGCCCTACCGTTCACTCCGATCGCCGCAGCAGTCCTCACTACGTCCCCTATAGACACATATGCGGCCGGCTCAATTCCATGGCCGAACTCAAATAATGATAGCAGGAGCTTTGCACTGACTAAATCCGTTGAGAACTCGCTAGCTGACTCGACAAGTCCAATGCCTGCTTTTACGGCGGCGTAAAGCGGTGTTTCGACCGTTGCGCTCTGAAGACTAGGATTGGTCACAATTAGAGCCATACTTAGTGTGAGGAGCACGTAGCTCGCTTGCGGTTTTGCGGGTAGTGTTTCGAGTTGCGTCATGTGTGAAGCTTCGTTCAAGACAGGCATCCATAAGTGGACCGTATGGAAGTACCTCCGTACTACATCTTGAACTTGAGCTGCAGCCCCTATTATGTGGTGGAGCTGTGCGGCGAGATTCACTTCGGCGCTTTGTGAATGAGTACAAGATGCGAATAAGGGAAGTTGTGTTTGCGATTTGGCTACACATGTAATGGAAGGCTGAATTCTTGACTTTATCGTCATGGAGCTGGAACCTCCTGTGCTGATCTTCAATGATGTGCGTTTAGAAGCTTCAAAACTGTAACGACATGGCCTTTGAAGGCTATTGCCAAGTCAGGTATCAGTATGAATGGTTCACTTAGCTCCATAATCACTAATCGTCTCTTACCGTACACAGAGCGAGCAGCTGGGAACCGCCTTGTCGCATTTGCGCTTACGATCCCGGCAGGGGATGCAGACTTGAGAAGCTGTGGAAGGACACATCAAGCAGTATACATGAAAATGACAGTTACTGGTGTTAAATGATAAGGCAAATGCAATGTAAAGACGAGGGTGGGTGATTCCATGTTATACGCTAACAGATTTGCGGATTACTGAACGAGTAATGGAGAAGCGGATGCGGATGCAGAGATCGCGTGCGGGTGCGGATCTGTTCTCTTCCTAGTCTCGACGCGGATGCGGCGATATGCATCATTAGCTTCATTTTGGGAAGTGGAATAGCTGGCTTCAAAATTGAACTGAAGCGTCAATTGACAATCTGTTGAACCTAGCAAAGTTTTTGAGCTCCCCGACTCCCAACATGAGATGTAAGTTTCTGTTGCTTGAACTTCGTGCTAATAAGGACTGTATAAATCGCCCCTTGCCTCTATCAACAATGGTTTGTAAAGAGTGACCAGCTCAAGTTACTTCTATCTAGCTCACAGTTTCAGTTTCTCAAAGTGGTATTGCTGAAGGCTACCCACCATGTCAATCTCTCAGGATACTCGTAAACTCTTTTCTCCTCTCCGAGTAGGCAACATGGATCTCACCCATCGTGTTGTCATGGGTCCTCTAACTCGAGCTCGCTGCTCCAATCATATACCAGGGGTTATGAATGCTGAGTACTATAGCCAGCGGGCTACACCGGGCGGCCTTATAATCACTGAGGGAACACATCTCTCTGTCAGGGTGAGTGCAGCATGTTGTTTCGCAATGGGAGTCACTCCTGGCCTTTGTTAATGGGGTTCTGTAGGCCGGCAATTTTCATAATGTCCCAGGAATCTACACACCTGAGCAAATTGCTGGCTGGCGTCTGGTAGTTGACGCTGTTCATGCCAAGGGCGCACACATATTCTGCCAATTATGGCATGTGAGTCATTGACTCCCGTATTGCAAAGGGACCGAAATCAAAAACTCTGACTCTACAAGCAGACGGGTCGAGTCGCAGTCTCTATTCAGATGAATGGACTTCCTCCTCTGAGCGCCTCGGCCACAAAACTTGACTTTACCAATGCCTTTACCTCTGTCGGAAGGGTTCCGAACGAGATGGCGAAGGAGATGACCATTAAGGACATAGAGACCACAATCAAAGATTATGTCCATGCCGCAAAATGCGCGATGGAGGCAGGATTTGATGGCGTTGAGGTCGTACGTCTACCGTCTTCCTACTATCATTTCTGCCACACTATTTCCTTGTGAATGTCAACTAACATCGACACCTCCATGTCCAGTTAGCGGGAAACGGTTATCTTCCTGACCAGTTCATTAACTCCCGAACCAATTTGCGGACCGATGCCTATGGAGGGTCCCTCATCAACCGCGCTCGCTTCCCGCTCCAGGTTGTTGACGCCGTAGCTACTGCTGTTGGCGCCAACAAGACAGGGATTCGCCTGTCCCCTTGGGGAACAGTCCAAATGCCTCTGGACGCTGATCCGGCAGCGACATTTACCTACATGTGTCACGAACTGGATAAGCGCGGGCTAGCCTACGTATGTCTGAGCCAGCCACGCAGCGACTTGTTTCTTGATGCAGCAACTAAGCTTCGGAACCTCGAAGTAGCTGTTGAAAATGGAGATGTTGCGGAAAGAATATTTGAGGATGTGAGCTTGGATAAGATACTCGCGGAGTTGAGACATACCGTCAGATTTGTGAACGGCGGGTATGATGGGCAAAACTGTTTCCATGAGGTGGAAAGCGGCCTGGTCGATGCAGTCGTGTTTTCGCGAACTTTCATTCCAAATCCTGATTTGGTAGAACGGGTTCGAAAAGGGTGGCCGTTTGCAGAGGTTGAAGATAAAAAGCTGTATTATGTTGGTGGTGCAAAGGGCTATACCGACTGGCCAGTTTACAAAATTTAGACTAGACGCTCCGTTTCATTTTTGCCTTCGTTCTTGGAGAGCAAATTCACACTGCTCTACGATGCTAACTCACAATACCTTGCATCAGGGAAACTTTGATTGCCTATAAGCGACACTGCTATAGAAGAAAGAGTCTGCAGTACCTACCTAGGTAGATAGCTTAAACTGTGCTCATAGACTAATACAAATCTGCAATCTGAAGTGTCCTTGGCATCCTTAGTCTAAATAGTTGTCAACTCTGCAACCTCAGCCTATGCATATGTGTCTGGTTTGTCTTAAGCCGAGGTGAAGAAACTCAGCCCGATAAGACAATCAGGACTGTGCAAGTCATACAAGTCGTAATCAATTAATTATTTTGTACTATTGGTGTTGTCGTACAAATCAGCGAAAGGCTGCAAGCTGCGGGGACAGGGATTGGATGTAACGGTGCCCCAACCCCCAACAAGCTAGTCTACCTAGGGAGCTCACCTGTCTAGGGCAGGCCTAGCAGGGCGCCAGAGGCCTCGTGCCTCGGCGCAGCTGAACGATCTGGCCTCGGCGATCTGGCCTCGCACAGCGGAACGTCACAAGAAAGCCCACACGTGCTCTCATTCGTCCCGAGGAGCAAAGAGGAGCAATGGGGACACCGACAGCTACTGGAATCATCTCCAGCTAGTCCTCCTTGTTGCTAGCTCCGCCTTGCTGTAGGCGCAATCAGTAAGCGTTTACTGGCTTCTTGCCAGGCTTGCACGTCATTCAGTGGCACCTGCGCTGTACTGTCTTGGGTACCTAAGGTTGGCACCCACCACCCTATAAGAAACTTGCGGAAAGAACGGTAGATCCGCATGGTCCGTGGTCAAGTGTCCCTTCCCTACAAGCTTTAGCTCACACTAAGGTGCCCATCCTGTATGCAGCTCTTGCCATGAATAGACGTGAAGTAATCTCTTCCATACTCAGCTTCCCCTCCTCAACAATTTCTTCCTCCCCTCCGCCCGTTGTTGGCTGTGACGGTATATCGTGAACACTCCGGTCCTCCAGTCAGAGTCGGCCTGATAGTTCTCCCGAGCTCTTACTGCTCTGCTGTCCGTCGAGAGAATCTAGTTCAGAGCAAGCTGTCAATTTGAACTCCAGCTGCCACCGCCCATTATTGCGCGCTTCTTCCTCTGTCTGTCTGGTCTCGCTCTCAGTTGCTTCTACCTCCTCCTCGACCATTCCATCGTCAGAGCCGGCATGTTGTCATACCGGGATGTGGGCATTATGCCCTTAAACATGGTGCAAAAACCGCCGTTTACCGTCGAGGACCCCAATGCAAAACCCGTCGAAGGCGAGACCATTCCGCGCCGACATCCCAAAGCCAAGAATGGCCTCCTAACACGCCCGGCCGACGACGTTAGCACAGTGTTCGAGCTGCTGAAGCGAAGCGCCGAGAACCACCCCGACGAGCCGGCCGTCGGCAGCCGGAAGCTGATCAAGATTCACAAGGAGATGAAAAAGGTGCCCAAGATGGTAGACGGCGAGATACAGGAGGTTGAAAAGGAATGGCAGTATTTCGAGTTGTCGGGCTACTCTTTCATAACGCATGGCGAGTACGAGACGCTCACCCGACAGCTCGGGTCAGGTATGCGGAAACTCGGTCTACAGCCACACGACAAGCTACACCTCTTCGCGAGCACCAGCGCACAGTGGCTCAGCATGAGCCATGCTTGCTCTGTTCAGTCCATGGCTATAGTGACCGCTTATGACACGCTTGGCGCAAGTGGCTTTGAGCATACCCTAATCCAGTCCAAACCAAAAGCGCTATTCATCGACCCTCACCTGTTCAAGACCGTCGTTGGCCCACTCAAGAACGCCCCGAGTGTCAAGCATATCATCTACAATGATAGCACGCACCAGCCCATACCAGACAAGCAAATCGATGAATTCAAGGCCGCCCACCCGGAGCTCACGGTGCTTAGCATCGAAGAACTCCGTGCCTTGGGAGAAGACCATCCTGTGGACCCTGTCCCACCAAAACCTCAAGATCTCTATTGTATCATGTACACATCAGGCAGTACTGGCCTTCCCAAGGGTGTACCTATCACCCACGCAGGTTTTGTGGCTGCGGTCGCGGGCCTGTATGCTATAGTAGAAGAGTGTGTGAGCCCCAGGGAGGTGCTCTTAGCATACTTGCCCTTGGCTCACATCTTCGAGATGGTCGTCGAGAATCTTGTCATCTTTGTCGGCGCCACACTTGGTTACGGCTCTGCTCGCACGCTGGTGGACTCGAGCATGCGGAACTGCGCTGGTGATATGCGTGAGCTGAAGCCTACGATTTTGGTAGGCGTACCACAGGTCTGGGAAACAGTGAAGAAGGGTGTCATGAGCCGGGTAAGCTCGTCTGGCCCGCTTATCAAGAACCTCTTCTGGGGTGTGTTCAATTTGAAGTCTATGCTCGTCAAGTACGGATTACCTGGTGCGACACTTTTCGACAATGCTGTATTTGGGCAGGTCCGCAAGATGACCGGCGGCAGACTACGCTTCATTGTCAACGGCGCCAGCGGTATTTCGGACAGTACGCGGCATTTCATGTCGATGGTGGTGGCACCCATGATCAACGGCTACGGCCTTACCGAGACCTCTGGCAACGGCGCAGTCGGATCACCTTTACAATGGACGGAATCCGCCATTGGTCCAATCTCAGCTGCAATCGAGGTCAAGCTTGTGTCATTACCAGAGCTGAATTACTCTGCCGATTCGAATCCGCCGCAGGGCGAGATTCTCATGCGAGGCGCTCCGGTTCTGTCAGAATACTTCGACAATCCCGAGGAGACCGAGAAGGCAATCACGCCGGATGGCTGGTTCCACACCGGTGACGTCGGCGAATGGGACTCCAATGGTCACCTGCGCGTCATTGACCGTGTGAAGAACCTAGTCAAGTTACAGGGCGGCGAGTACATTGCTCTCGAGAAACTCGAGGCCGTGTATCGCGGAAGCCATGTGGTGCACAATGTCATGATCTACGGCAGCGGCTCTCACCCGCGACCGATTGCAGTCATCAGCCCTAATGAGGCTAAGCTAAAGGAGATCGCAGAGAGCCTAGGTGTCAATGAGCACGACATGCACAGGAGCGCAAAGGTCAAAGACGCTGCGCTCAAGGATCTGGTCTCGGTGGGTAGAAAGGCTGGGCTGACGGGGCTCGAGCTGGTGTCGGGTGTGGTATTGGTCGAGGACGAGTGGACGCCGGTCAATGTGAGTTTCTTCCCCTTTGTTCTATTGCCCGTGAGAGCCAACGCTGACTGACTCGACAAAGGGCCTCGTAACGGCAACGCAAAAGGTCAATCGTAGAGCGCTGAAAGAAAAGTACAAGAAAGATATTGAAGACGCTTTCGGTAGAGATTGAGTCCGGGGCTAAGGGCTTATGATGCTTCCCATTTTGTGGAAATTTTGTCGTTGTTAGTTTATGGGACATGACTTCACGACTTGTACAATAATTGGAGTATTCCGGGCGGCAGATGTCCCATACCGGATCACCAAGGCGTATTCGAGCATGTGTAACTGTAATGATATCCTTCTTCTAACGCAAAAGACTGGAACGCTTCGTACAATCGTAGGGGCTGTCTCTTCTCTAGCTTGCTTGAAAAGAAATAGCTTGGTGAGACTCCCCTGGATGCAGTATACCGCCAACTCCCCCGAATTTGAACAAGAAAAACGATATATGTGCTATGCTTGTTGTATGTGCTCAGACCTCCAATCCCATTTACCAAAGCGAGGCCATGGGACGATAGATGGCGCCTAGATCGGCAGGCGTTGGTATAGTTGAAGACATGATCCAGATGTCTCGATATTTACCTGCTTACGTCCCTCCTCTGGTAAAAGACAATGTACGCCGTGCCTGCGCCATCCTTGTACAGCTTGCGCATATCGTCGGGCGTCCTGATATTATAAGGCGTCACACGCTCGTCATTGAAAAGGTGCCACTGCGTGGGGTCGCTTGCGTACTCGTCGCGCACGTACGACCAGTAGTGGCCGCTCCGCAGACCGCCAGCGTGCAGGACGACCGCATAGGCGTCGTAGATGAACGGCCCCTGGAAGTGGTGGTCGGCGACGCCGCCGGGGTTGTCGCGCAGGAAGTACGGCGACATGTCGACGTCTCGGAGCGGGAACTCGACTTCGGTGTGGTCCTTGATGTCGCCGGAGCCGAAGCGGCGGATCTGCAGGCAGAGCAGGTCCGGGAGGCGCGCGAAGCGCTGCTCGCGGATGGACGTCCCGTGCTTTTGGCACTTGTCGCACTTGTAGTCGGCCATGTCTTCGGTGTGCGTGTATGCCTGGAGTGAAGCCTCTAGCGTTGAGCGTCGCTGAATGGCCAGGGGCACGAGGTCGAATGCCTCGTACCTGGTCGTCTTATACTGGCATGACTTGCAGCTGGTTATAGTGGCGTCCAGTCCGCGCCAGTACTTCGTGATGAGCGAAGCGTTGCTCTTGATATACTGATTCCAGTACTCCACCGCCCCTTCGAGGACAGATCGCCCATTCAGATCCGGTTGTTTAATCAGCTCGGGTTGGTCACGACGAACATTAGTCTCATCGTGAATCTCCGCTGTTATGAACGACAGAAACTCCTGCGCGTCTTGTTGTTCGGAGCCGCCGAGAACATGCCTATGCTCTCTACGATATCCCCTAGCATCTTTCGAGCTGATATGCGCTATATAGTCCTACGTAATGATCATTAGCATCTAATATTGTGAGATTGAAGAGATCGCTTACCATCAAGGTTTTAGCTTGCATGGCCTTGAATTTGCCATTTTGCATCCAGTGGAACAAATTTGCAACAATTTTAGTGAGAAGCTGTGGCGGCATAATCTTCTCGTCGATTTTCTTTGGAACTTGGTACGTTCTTGTCCACTCTCCACTTAGAAGCTCCTCCGCGAATCCAGTCGAGCCGAACATTGCCTGGATGGAGCTGTTGGCATAGCACCAGGCTCCCGGGTTATGCAAGCCGACGAGGTTCTTGGTGCGCTTGCTGCCGCTATTGATTCTTGTCTGCTTGGAGATGACATGCTGATCTCGGTCGTCGGCATCACTGAGACCACTATAGCTGGGTCGCGGGAGAGCTGGAGCAGGGCGGGCCGGGGGCGCTGGTATGGGATCGTAGTGCTGGGCAGCTCCGAGAGGAAGGCGTGGTGTCATAGGTTCCTCCTCGACCGGGGAGGTCATGGACTCCTGAATAGCAGAGGCCGGAGGGAACCGCCGCAGGAATTCCTCTGTTGTGCGAACAAAGGGATCAGACGTCAACGTCTCCGTCCACCGCCTTGCCTCGGCGGGATCCTGGATCGGTCTCGTGGCACGTCGTGGCCCTAACCTTCTGTTTGGCGATGACATACTGAATGTGGGTTTTGGTGTTCGTTGTATAGTACTGGGTAGTGTCTTGGATGTCTGTAGAGAATGGCTTCCCATTACATTACTCCATGCTTCCAATCCGCCTTCTAGTAATTTGGGATTTCGGTTGTCAGATTCCCGATCGACATTGTCATAATAGGTGAGAGCGTTATATATATTGGCAAGGGCATTATCCCGAGTATCACTATTCCGATTGCGGCTGATCGTGGTAGATTCTTGGTCGTAGAAGACAATGAGATCGAAGTCGTGGCGTCTTTCGAAAATCCTTTGTTCCTCGGCGGGACTCAGGACGATCGCATCCATGATATCGTCTCCAGAAATATTTTCCCTTGAAAGAACTTCCGGCTCTATGCAAATGGTGGATTGGGACATAATATGCCCATCGTCGAAATCCTCTCTGCTCCGCACGTCTATCAAGAGAATCTTGATATCTTTAGTGCCGGCGCGCTGCAGCTTCACGAGGTCATCCACAGTGATCGTATTCCCTGATGGAATACTAGGCTGTTGACGCTTTTGCGCCGGACCTGGCCCTGAGCTATGGGACGGCACGAAATAATCGTTACTAGGCGGTGACTTTACACTGTTCGTGGCGTTGGTCGAAAAGGAGGTGGTTGAGTTTGTCCGGCTGAACATGCCGCGAGGCGTGCTTGACGGTAGCTCAGCAGCCTCGCTGGAAACAGTACCGCGAGCAGGACTGTATATAGCATCAGGAACTTTGGGCATTCCGGGGAGAGATCCGTCAATGTGCACGATCGGCTTGCTCGTGGCTGGCATATCTCGCGGGCCCATTGGCTTAGAAGGCCCAATTGGCAGTGTCCTCACAAGAGGATCTTGGCCAATAGACGATCTGCCAGAGCGAAGGTTGGCGAACCTTGCTTCCAAAGCCTCTTTGCCGGATGGGGATCCTCCTGGTTTGACAGCATTGCCGTGCAGTGCTTGAGGCTTTGGCCGCACTGCAGGCCCGGAACGTCGCGGAGCCTCATGGTCATTCACCGCACCGCCTCCTACCGAATTTCCATTTATCGAAGGCTGCCTGGCATGATCTCGATGCTCGGGTGCAGATGATGCAGTGCTTGTCCTACCACTTTGCTGCCCCGAAGAACCTGGCTTGGACTTTGTCGGCTGCACCCCAGTCTTCTCGTTATCGGCCTTTATTTCCTGCTTGATACGCTCGAAAGCGCTATGGTGCACGTTGATTTTCTTGATCAGTTTCGTATAGCGGTCGCCTAATGCTCTCCTGTCGCCCTGGAAGCTGACATAGTCTCGATGTCGAGGAATGACTTCGGCGGCTATCGTGTATGATCGCATGTATTCTTGCAGCGCCAGGTCGGGACGCTTGAAATCTTTGAACGTCTCTGCCGACCGCATAGATCCCTCCGCAGCAGCCAGCACTGTCTCGATCGGAGTGTTTTCGTCAACATCGGCGGTAACATGCGTGAGATCATCTATGTGTGGTAGAGGCCGTTTGGCTCCCCTGCCGCCGCCAAAGCTATTTCTATTGACTCCGTAGGAAGAAGCCGCGCCATTGTTAAGCACAGTCGCCGCCTCCGAAGTCGCGACAGGACTCATGATTCTCCGCAGGCCCTTTGGAGGTGGTGCGACGCTATCATAACCTGACGACCCGTCTCATGGATACGGAGCACAGCTCGCAAGGTGTCTTGGTATCAATAGCCGGTCTAAGAATGGTGAATGGAACAGAAGGTTTCGGGACGCGGGCAGGGCGGGCATGAGTGGCAAGCGCTCTAGAACAGCAGGCGTTCGAGGACGTTTGTCGATGTTACGATGCGGGGACTCAGCGCGGGCGGCATCCTTTGTTCACAAAGGTCGTCGATCGGCCGGAGGAGCCCCTCTTCCAAAGATGAGAGCTATTATTTGAAGAGACAGGGAACTCGTCGGAGGTCGGAGGGTGGTTGCTCTACCATGCGGCAGCAGTGAGTTGTTTGGACGTTAAAACAGTAATAGTGTTGGTCTGGTCCAACACGAGGCGAGGAGATGACGGTGTTTCTGGCAATCGTCGTCAAAAAATGGCAATGCTGAGCCTCGCCCCCAGGTTTGGTTGGGTACCTCCAAGGTACTGTCTTTTTCTTTTTCCAGTTACCCCTGCGATGCATATTAGCGTGGCTCCACGTGCTAGCAGCTTGGAACCTCAAAGTACCGACAAAGTTCCTACTGCTTTCCTGTCCAGCAACCTTGGGAATTGAAGGGCCCGGGGCAGGGGAGCTCTTCAGTGGCCTTGTCAGCGCGTCCTTGGACTGATTACGCCGCCACCTGCACACACTTCGTCATCTCTCCCAGCGGTCATTGCCGCCCAGCCCACTAAGCAGAAGGCAGCCACATTGCTGCACAGTAGCTATACCACGCTAGATCCTGGTTGGGGCAAGCTGCAGCAAGCGAGGCTTCCGCTCTGGACCTTGCGTAGTCCGTTAGGTTGACTTTAACGTACCGTAGGTTAAGCTCGACCGACAAGCAACACACTGACACCTCAAACGTCCCCGACTCCATCATCCAAACACACCAGCTCTTACCTCCGCCCTGCATCGAGGCTGAACAGCATCGTGGTCGAGATCATCATCGTGCATTCTGCAGCTACACCATCCCTCCACTGCGCGCAGCGTGTCTGTTCTGATCATCCAGCAAAGTATCCCCGACTGACAACGTCATCCTGTCCCCGCGCGCGCGCCTCTTCCATCTTCAAGAACGATGATGGGTTGGTGGTCGTCCTCCGCGACAACCGCTCTGGACGAGCAGATCGAGAAAGCCACAAGTAGCAGCCTGTACGCATGCGCTTTTTTCTCGTCAGAGATTCTCCCCAGACGATGTGCTAACCATCTGCGACAAATGCAGCGAGGACATAGCTCTCAACCTCGAGATTTCCGATGTCATCAGATCCAAGACCGTACCGCCGAAAGAGGCCATGCGCTCTCTCAAGAAGCGTATCGGCAACAAGAACCCCAATACTCAACTGAGTGCGCTGAACGTATGCGACTGCCTACCCGGATCGAAACGAGATCAATACGCTGACTTGGGGATAGCTCACGGATACATGTTTCAAGAATGGAGGGCAGCACTTCCTCATAGAGATTGCGTCTCGCGAGTTCATGGAAAGTTTGGTCTCACTGCTGAAGGCCGTTGGACCAGCCTCGGTAAACTCGGAGGTCAGAGGAAAGATCCTGGAGCTGATCCAGTCTTGGGCTGCGGCAACAGAAAGTCGTTACGACCTTTCGTATATCGGTGAAGTCTACAAGACTCTCCAGCGCGAGGGCTTTCAGTTTCCTCCGCGAGTGACTGTAGCGAGTAGTATGATAGACAGTAGTGCGGTAAGCTTTCGACCCCATACATTCTCTACGTTTCCCTGCTAATCATGCGATCGCAGCCGCCTGAATGGGTCGACTCAGACGTATGCATGCGGTGTCGAACGCCCTTCACTTTTACCAACAGAAAGCATCACTGTCGGAACTGTGGAAACTGCTTTGACCAGCAGTGCTCTACCAAGTCAATCCCCCTGCCTCATCTTGGCATACTACAAGCCGTAAGGGTTGATGACGGATGCTACGCAAAGCTTACGGACAAGTCTGGAAAGGGTGGCGGCAGTGGGCCTGGTCAGGAGCGCTCGACTTTGTACTCGAACTTCCCTCCGAAAGCTCGTAGTACCTCTGGCATGCAACCCCGCGATGCCAGGATTGACGATGGTTTTGATGAGGATTTGAAGAAGGCCCTGGCTATGAGTCTAGAGGAAGTGCGAAGCCATTCAAGGGGCTACGTGCCAAATCAGACCAACGGATCTAGTCCTGAACAAACGAAGGTGAACGGTCATTCGCCAACGCCGAAGCCTGCCGCCGTCGAAGAAGAGGATGAAGATCTGAAAGCTGCCATTGCGGCATCACTTGCAGATATGGAGGAGCAGAAGAAGAAACATGCTGCAGCTCTCAAGGAGCACACCTCGACGGCCGGAGCCACATCATCGGCACCTTTTGCTTTGCCAAAGAATGACTATGAACTCACTCCTGTCGAAGCTGAGAACATCAATCTCTTTTCCACCCTTGTCGACCGACTTCAGTCGCAACCCCCTGGCACCATTCTGAGAGAGCCTCAGATTCAGGAGCTATATGACAGTATTGGTACCTTGCGACCGAAACTAGCGAGGACGTACGGAGAGACAATGAGCAAGCATGGTAAGTGTTTGAGATACCTGTAGCTCTACAAGTACTAACGGCCGGTCAGATACCCTCTTAGATTTGCACGCAAAACTCTCTACCGTTGTTCGCTATTACGATCGTATGCTAGAAGAGCGCCTTTCCAAAGCTTACAGCCAACACAGTATTGGGGGATATAACCTTCCAGCCCCTCGCCAGACTTCGAACCCATACCCATCTATACAGGGTAACATTCCCACCGGAGTAGGCGGACCAGCAGAGAGCTTCTACACTGGAGAGCAGCCTCAGCCTGATTATGGACGCCCAGTACCCCAACAGCCTTATGCTCAGCCCAGTCAGCCCACACCTCAGCCTCCGTATGCGGCGTACGACAAGCGAGCATCGATCTCTGGGCCTTCTCAAAACCAGTACGCTCCGCAGAGAGCGGACAGCTGGCGAGCACCCGCCCCTTCGGCTCCTACGCAGTACTCATCACAGCCCGGCTATCCCCCAAATGAGGCCCCACCTCCTCAAGCAAGTCAGCCTCAAGCACCGCAGGAACCAGTTGGTACCACTCCCACAAACGACCCCAATGCTTCGTTCTATTTCCAGCAACCCGGGCAACCTCAACAGGCGCCTCCTACAGCTGCTCCTTCTGAGCCTCTATCCTCCCCCTATCCTAATTTACAGCAATCCATACAATATCAACCATCACTTCCCCAGACTCCTGCGTCCGTGCCTGCGCAACCAGTCCAGCAAGCTCATCAAGCACCCTCTGCTCCACCACAACAGCCGCAAGCCCCGTACTGGCAGCACCCGGCAGCACAGCATGTACAAGTCCCTGCGCCTTCATCTGCGCCGTGGCAGCAAGCCCCGAGTGTGCCATACAACAACTATAGTCAGGAGGCATTTCCGTCTGCACCGCAACACGCCCCAGCGCCTAAACAGCCGGTGGTGGAAGAGAGTCTGATTGAGCTTTGATTCAGGAGGGGTCTTCATAATTATCTGCTGGGCATGATCACAATTACCAGCTTGGAAGCGGAGAGTGTCCGCCTCCATGGTTATTTGGAGAGAAAGAATGTATTCTAGCAAGCCATGAGCATTTCGCATTTTGGTGAATGGCCCGGAAAGACCTGACTTTCAATTGAAAAGCTCTAGATTGAGCTTGGTTGTCTCAAGTCATCGGGTTGAGTTTGTATGCTATAGTTCCATACCGTACTCTAGGACCAGTTTAGATCAAGAAGCGGTACGCGAGCCTCTGCGGCGTACCTCTTGGTGTCTTTCGGTAGATTCCACCACATTCTGTGCGTTTGCTGCCTACCGGACGAAGCTGTTTGACGTCTCCATTGTGTAAAATTTCTAGTGTCAGCCTCTAAAGTGAACAAAGGCTTAAGGACTTTGAAAAAAATGCTTTTTCTGTCACGCAACGAAAAAAGGGTCCTGTCAACGGAGCGAATGAATTGAGATTGAGAAGAAGCCCACCTCAGCTATATCATCAAGCTGAAAACGGCAATTCCATGAGGATGGTCCTAGTTAGCTTGATTGAATTGTCAAATATCATGAGATCGTACCAGCGACTTTTCTTTGTGTGCAACCGGATGCGGATATGGTGTTGCGGAAGCAGGCCAAGAACAAAGAGCGCATGTTAGAGCTGTCGAAATTAGTGTTGCATTTCAATTAGAAACTCATTCCACAAAGAACATCCTGAATCAAGTTACATTGAACTGCTCAGAATCTCTCATCTAATTTTGAGCTTCTAGTCTCTTCATCTCCAGTTTCGTAGACCATTGCTTCAACTCCGTCCAGAGAGATTCGTCAACTTGAGATAGTCTGCTTCACCGCGACCATGGCCAAACGAGCAATCCCAAAGAGCCTCCAGCCTGATGCAGACGAGAAGGCACTCAAGGAAAAGGAGCTTCGACTAGCAAGACGCATCCAATTCCTCGGTCGTGAGCTCGATGAAGACGAGCTTGCGGAGAGGGTACCCAGCGGTCCAAGCCCAAGTGTCGTGCAAAACAACAAGAGAGTCAGGAAATTTTACAAATGCTTGCCCCGACACTATCATGATGTTGAAACTTCTACGCTGCCACCCAGGGCGGCATTGCGCAAGCGCCAGACGCCGCTCCCACCATGGCAGTACGATGAGGCCGATGAGATTCGTACGACGCTCCCGATGACAAGGCGCAAGCCAGGGACAGCGAGCCAGACTAAGCCAGCAGCAAGAAAAGAGGCTGTCCAGGTCACCAACCGGCCAGTAACGGCCCAAAACACGAGCAATATTCAGGCGAAACCAGCAACTGCTGTTGACGGCACCGCACTGCAAGCAATGACAGACCAAGAGTTACGCGATCTCATCCTAGCCGAAGGAACGACGGATGTATTGATGCAGGCTGCTGTGAATATCTTGTCAGAGAGGACTCGCCAAAAGTTCCCAGACATTGCACCAGAAACTACGCCTGTCGCCCCTCAAACTGTGACACAGGTTGGCCCAATAGTCACTGCTCCAGGCACAAGCAATAAAACCACTCTACCAGAAACGTCAAACGCAAGTGTGGAGGCTGTTGTCAAGGCCATGTTAGAGAATCTTCACCGAACCGGCCCAGCAGTGATGCCACAGGCCACTCCTGCGACTACACAAACTGACACACCAGCTGGACCAACTTCTTCTTCTATCAAGCGGGTGGGAGATAGTCAAATCGATACGCAGCAGTCATCACCGAAGAAGCCCAAGCTAGATATAAAGTCCATGACCAAGCTTTTGAGGCCAGATGGTCCCCAGTTCAATAAACAGGCCAAAAAGTACGCCCGCGTTGCGAACAAGCTGCCGCCGTCCCAATGTCTATGGGATGACAAGTTTGTCGAAGCGCAGGAGATTAAGGTCGTCGATTCTCCGGACCATCCATGGCGCAATACCTCCGTATCTAAACAATATGGATTCGATATAAAGGGGCTTTCGGTGCCACTTCCATGCTTGTCGTACGAGAATGCAGTGTGGATTCCTTGCGATAATGCTTCTCAAGATGACGGAGGGCTTACTACGAAATATGTTCTCCAGAGCAATCCGAATGGTCACCCTCCAAAGCTCGTGAAATTCAACTATAGGGGTCACCTCCCAATCGCATCAAGGCTTGGTAACAGTCTTTGGACGACGAGGCGCTTGCCCTCAAGTGTCCATTCCCCTGCTCACCCGAACAGATCGTTTCAGGTGCAGAACATCATTTTACGCAACGCTAGAATGACAGGTTCACCACACTTTGTTGAAGCATGGGGTCATAATGACCAACTTACGCATGAAGTCGTGGCTGAGGAGTACTTGGATAGGGGAACCCTCGCCATGGAGAAGCATCTCAAGAAGTTGCGGGATATGTCAAATCCATCATATGCTTGGCGAGTTCTACAGTGCCTTACAAAGAGCATCTCAGTCATGGCTTATGGTTCAGAAGATCCGTACCAAAGAGTTCCTCAATGGATAGAGATAGTTCTTCTTGACTGGAGGCCGCAAAATGGTAAGCTTTTTTCCTCCTCCATATTCAACCTCGTTATGTTAATATGTTGACTTTGTAAAGTCTTTGTCGGGCCCAAGAATCTTGCAGATGACTACCACACTTGTGGCGCGAAACAAACTTGTTTTAAAGTGAGTGTTGAAACTCTTCTTTTGATAAAGGTAAACTGACATTTCTTAGCTCGGTTATTTTGAACAATCATTGTTGATCTACCCTCCTGGCAAGGATCGTGACGGGCAACGCGAGGAGAATCTGCAAGATTCGGATGTGTTCTCTCTAGGCTGGCATCTCCCTCCTGTAAGTGATCTCGATACGGCGCCTTCATAGGCGGACACTAATGATCTATGTAGGAGTCAAAAGAGGCGCGTACGCTTCACTCGAAGAAAGCTGGCTTGCAAGAGCGGCTCGACCACCCTATAGCTGGCCGTTACAATTATAAGACCAATATCTATCAGATGGCAGACATGCTGCGAAAATTTCGCGGATGGTTCGAAGAAGATGAACTCAGCGACGAGGCGAAGAAGCTCTTGGAGCAAGATCTTGCTGGAGACTTCGAGACCCCTTCTAAAAAGGGTCAGGTTCGTCCCAAAGAGTTACGACAGGTTGTGCCCAACCTGAAGCTCTCTAAAGTCAGATTCAACAGGGTCCTGGAGGCATGCCTGCGCGAAAGTCCTGCTGAGCGGCCGGAGATAGGCTGGCTACTGGCTCAAGCTGCCATTGGCCTTGCTGAAGCTGGCAACACGCCTGAACAACCTGATGAAGATGTTTCTAGTGACTCTTAGCGACTTCTGAAGAGCTGAAGAGAAAGCGAGTCTCTAGGTACTTACTCTAACGGAATCTGTGTCGCAACTTATATGGAAATGATTTGCTGTCTTCCTAGGACTTAGTTGATGGAACTTTAGCCGTGAATTGCTCATTCGAGAGCTCGTAGCTTTTGAAAGTCTTCAGTCTACCAACTCTTACATTACAGGCGCTCGGAATGGAGAGGGGTCACTTCAAAGGGTTATCAAGACGGTCCAACGGTACTGATGCTAATGGGGCAAGTGGTGGTCTAAGTCGGGCGATGCTTATTGTGCGATGTATTCTTTCACTTCTGTTGTTAATTCCAAAGTTATTACAAAAATAAAATTCGATGCTCTTGCTTACTCTACTCCTGAAGTATAAAGACAAAGTAGAAAGGTGACTCTAGAAGAGCTGCGAATTGATGCTCCTAGGTCAGTAAAGAGTGGGCCAAACGCCGCCCGGGGCCGTAGGACCACCCAGCGCGGCTCACTAAGCAAGTTCCCCTACGCCAGGCCCAGCCGAGCTGCCGCTTCGGGGCATGTGTTCTGGCGTCATTGGGGTGCGATATGGCCCTCCGACTCCGGTCGACAAGCCGCCGTGCGGGTGACTGTGGTCCGCGACTGCACCGCCGCTTCACCGATAAAAATCTTCAAAAACAGCTCCATGAGTCATCGCGGTAGAACATCGCCTCCAACACGTTGTATGAGAAGGAGACAAGTGTCGTCACTTTCGCGAGGCATTTAAAGACTCGTTTCCCCAATTTGTGTGCTGGGATTGACAAGGTCGCATTTCGTGATCTACAACCATCTACTATACACTCGCCGCTGTTACTTACTTACAGACTCATCGCTCTCATCCACCATGCCTATTACACTTCACCTTGTACGCCACGCGCAGGGCTTTCACAATCTGTCGCTCATCAACCAGCAAATATCAGACCCGTCCCTGACGCCCTTCGGCAGAGAGCAATGCGCCGAGCTGTGCAAGGCGTTCCCTGCGCATGACAAGATCACCCACCTCGTCGCGTCGCCGATGAGGCGCGCGATCCAGACATGCTACCTGTCCTTCCAGCCTGCCGCCACGGCCGGCAAGAAGGTCATTGCGATCCCGGAGGTGCAGGAGGTGTCCACGCTGCCCAGCGACATCGGCACCGACCCCCGGATCCTGCAGATTGAGTTCGAGGACATTGCGGACCTGAGCCATGTCAAGCCGGGGTGGAACGACAAGAGCGCCGGCACGCCGTGGTCGCCGACGCTGGACAGGCTCACGGCCCGGGCCAAGGCGGCGCGGAGGTGGCTCCGCAAACTCGGCCAGGAGGCCGGGGGTGAAGCGGACATTGCGGTGGTCAGCCACGGAGGTTTCCTGCATTTCCTCACGGAAGACTGGGATGGCATGGACCCGGCGAGAGGTAGGGTGTTTTTCAATTTATGTTCGCCTGTGAGATGCTGACTCTCGGGTTAGGTACTGGTTGGCAGAATACCGAGTACAGGTCGTACGAGTTTGTCGACCCGGAGGGGGATGACGACGTCGCCAGCTTGCGCGAGACGAAGCCGAGCTGGAGACGACGACGAGGCAGCGCCATTGGTCTGACGGAGACAGAACAGCGAGAACTACGAGCTGTTGTTACTCGTCAAATGGAGGAAGAGTTCGAGTGGCTTGCCAAGGAGCCCCCGTCCGTGGCCGTAGAGTGAAGTGTGACCGATTGCATATGGCCGTGGATAGCGATGGTCGCTCACAGCATTTGAATTGGTATACACAGGCGCAAAGTACATCCATTTAGACTCGATAGGCCTTTCCGCATACAACACCCTCCAGTTTGGGGTTGCATAACTGTGCGAGACTGAGACTGAAACGCTAGAGGCTGCGTAATCCATCAAGCTTCTCACCAAGAAGCATCTTAATTTAGAAAGAAAATCGAAAACAAAACAATTGAGCTTGTTCAGCATCGGAGTATTTCGTTTCAAGAGAGTCGCTGCAGCTGAGTTCTTCAGAGGTATAACCGCTTGTTAAGCGACTGGACAATCTATCAATCTAGATGAGCGGATCTGGGCTGATCCGCTGGCCGCCATATGACAGACCAACTATATATCTGCATGTGGGAAGCGCGCGGATAGAAATCTAGCTGTTTGTGCACTCGTGTTGTAATACCGGGCCTTCTTCTGACGCCTAAGGTCAATTGGACTGGCGGGCAACGGGTGACCATTGTTGAAGACGATCATTGCATGTGGTTGGAAGTGTGATACCAAGAGATTGGCAGATTGCCGCACATCATCTCTCCTTGGCTGTGGTCACCCCAAGGCCTCGGCGTGCCAACATCGGATTGAAACAAAGCACGCCGAGAGACAGGACAGCACGGAAACGCCGTAGGGCTACTTGCCACTTGGCGGCCACCTCGACAGGCCGGATTTACCGCGGATCAGAGAGAACTATAGGTGAGCAGGTACGCTGCCCAGATCGCTAGGGAGTCGTCTCAGGCGCTGGTGTTGGTGTTGGTGTTGCTGGCTTGGTTGGTCAATGGACAGCTGTCTGGCCGCCGTGAAGGAGACTTGCAATTTCTCTGGGCGGCCACAGGGGGGCCCCAGTGCAGCTCTGGAGCGAATGAGGTGCCAGGGGGCGTCTCTGGACTCGTTTGGCGCTAGGACTGCTTGGGGGATAGCGCTATCTCAAGCAAAGGGGTTCCTGCGTCCCAAGACCAGCGCTAAGCCCGTCCTATCCGTTTCCCCCCAGCCCGCCCCCACAGTCCACAGCGGGCGGGACCTGGGAAATGGTGCTGTTCTGAAAGTGCTTGATTCCCCCCTGCAGTTAGTAGGGGATGGACTGGATAAGACGGCATGCTAGATATTCGCTTGGAGAATTGCTTGGATGCTTAACTAAACAGGCGAGAATCGGGCTTCCATCATAACAAGCCGCGTGTAGAGTCCCTGGGATGCAAGGAAAGGGCAAGCTTTCAGATCGACCTTCCCTAAACCGCCGGCTCAATGCCTCCCGCGCTCCCTCTCTCGTCTCTCTAACAGCAGGTAGACTAGGTACACTAGGGAAGACAGTACTACGCAGTAGCTTACTGCTGCCCCTCGTGCCCCTTAACCGACCTCCGCCCTCTCATCGCCGCTCTCACAGCCCGCCTCCTCTCCCTCCTCCCTCCCTCCATCTCTCATTCCAGTCTGTTATGGACGTCCTGTGAAAGAAGAGAACAATCATCCCACCAGTCGTCGAGACCGCCGCTCATTCCATCGAGTATACACTACCAGTCACTCTTTTCCAGAAGCTGCATTTGATTCCGTCATCCTGAAACCGTCCGCTCTCTCTGAAATAGCCACCAACAATAACGACGCCCGCATTGTCCAATCCTTTCCCGTTTCGAATATCTGATACCCAACCTTGCAGCCTTTCCTCTCCCCGTCGATCAAACGAGCAAACCAAAGACACACGACTCCCGCCAGCTGTCCACCCCTTCAGCACGTCTCAAGAAACTACTACAGCACACATTCGGGAACACAGAGGCTGGTTTCCTCATCCGAAAGAAGTCGGCTGCCGTATGCGACCGCGTTATTCGAAGCGCAAGCGACTCGTTCCTCGACACTCAACATCGAGAGAGTCGGCCCATTCTGGAGCATTCTTGGCGGTGTCAGTATGCGCACCGGCCGACAATAGCAGGGCATCCACTTGATTCGCCTGGGTATCCTGCCCATCACTGAATCACGACCCACTCTCTCTAATATCCCCAACCCTTTCTCTCCCTTCCTTCGCTTTTCCTCCCAAGCACACTTATACCGGTGCTTGGCCCGTTTGCGAGTATCTTCTCCCGTCACCAGAAGCACAGTCGACAAGCTCGCAGGCGAGGGACGACTTGTGCGACGGCGGGATCACTATCAGCGACATTCTTTTGACATACCTTCGAGGGCGGAGCGGCTGGAGTCCGTCTCCATCGAATTCGCCTTCATTTCATTCTCACCGGCTGGGTCGATTGGGAGGTTCATCGTGGAGGCAGGTCCAATCGAGCACATTTAGGCGTGCGTTGTAATCCATTCACACCATGGGTTGCATGAGGAGTCGTCGACGGGAGGCCGAGGTTCGTCCCGAGGCGAAATGGGACTATATTGTAAGCTTCAATTGCGCAGACGGGACGGCTAAATGCGTGGTACTAATGCGAGGGTGTCTAGAGTCTCAATGACTTCAAGTCAACTAACTGTTTCACGCCCTTGGCGTATGGCTATCTCTGGTTCTCTCTTCTGTTGTCGATTGCCGTGTACAGTGTCGATACCTTCACAGCCATCCAGCTCCTCGTCTTCAACAAATGGAGTTCCGAGATCGAGCCTACCCAGCTCATCCCCTTCGATGTCTCGAAATGGATCTTCTCTATCTGTATCATTCTTTCGTTTGTCAACCTCGGATTCGAGCATGTCCGTGCCCAGCGCATCATGAGGAGGGGAAGTGTCGCCGAAAGCTATCTCGACAACTTGACGATTAAGCTTCAGAGTATTCGGCTTGGGAAAGGCCAGGGCTGGAAGCGATTCCTGGTCTTTGCTGAGCTGACCAAGAACAAGAAGGGCGCCGAGTACGTCGCTCTCTTCAGTTACTACAGTTTCCAATGTAAGCGCTTTGATCAATCTGAATCGGGTCGTAAGTATCTCAATCTAACTGTCACCCAGCTTGGATCCGTGTTATTCTCTGCTCTGGCCCTCGACAGGCCGTTAATGCTATGACACTCTTGTCTGTTTACAACGCCAAAATCGCCGCCTCTGGAGACTCGTTTGAGAGTTCTCTCATGGATTTCTTTGACAAGATTGGAGTTCTCGCACGAGAAGATGGCTACCAACAGGCCCTCATTCTGTCTGGCATGTGCTTCACTCTGGTCATTTGGGTATTCTCGGCTCTGTCGCTCTTGCTTGCTGCGTTGTTCTGGGTATTCTATCTATCGTGCGCCATTCCGAGAACTGATGGTGGACTTTCGGGCTACTGCGAGCGAAAGGTTAACAAGAGGCTCATGAAGATTGTGTCTGTCAAGGTCAACAAGGCAATCGCGGAGCAGGAACGACAGAGGATGAAGGCCGAGCTAAAGGCTGCGAAGAAGGCCGGTGAGGCTCCTCCGGAAGAACGGAAGGCGACTCTTCCAACTCTCGAAGGAAGCGATGATTCTCTGCCACAAATGCCCATGATGAATAGGAACGATACGATGGCAACCCTGCCGGTCTACACCTCTCGGCCAGGAACTCCTGGTGATTTCGAGCTCAATGCGCTTGATCAGAAACGACCAATGCTTAACCGTACTGGCACAATGTCTTCATCAACTACTGCCTTCTCGTCAAGAGCGCCCCTGCTTGGCGGTGCTGCTGAGATGGGAATAGATGGTCGTTCTGCATCCCCTGCTCCTTCGCTACCTTCCACCAACTTCAACAATTACCCTGGACCACCAAGAACGGGAACGGCTGCTTCCAACAGAAGCTTCGGTGGCCCGACTCCGCTCAGTCGTGTTAACACGGGAGGGTCTGGGTTTGGTGCTCCCTATACACAAACGCCTTCAACCTACTCGTCCGAAACAATGCCATCTCTACCGCCACCCATAAGATCACCTACTGCCCCTCCTTCCAACTATGGTATGCCTCGGCCTAACATACCTGGTCGACCAACAATGGATGAGTACTCAAACGGTCGCTCAAGCCCAGCGCCATCGTCCTACTCCAACAGGGGTGGTCCAACATCGCCCCGTGGACCACCTGGTTCAGGAGGATATCCATTGAGAAGTGCCACAAATCCCGTCCCATCTCCGAGGGGACCCGGACCTCAGTATCCTCCCCAGCGGAACATGACGGCTCCGCTTCAGCCCAGGCATCAGCCAACGGGAAGCGGGAACAGCTTTGCTTCACGACATCAGGCACAGGGCAGTGGGGAGTACCGACCTTACACTCCAAATCATCAGGCTCAGAATAGCGGCGAGGTCGACTACTTCAACCGACCTACCACCGCTCAGAGCCAGAGAACCATGAACCAGCCCGGATATGGAAACAGATGGAATCAGGACGTTGAATCACAAAGAGGGCCAGGCCAGAGAGGGCCCGGACCACGATACTAAATTCATTGTATACCCCTCTTCAAGCCGCTCACATCTATTGGATAGGATGCGGTATGAAGTTATCACTACGGATTGATCGTAATGATAATTTATTTATTCAGCATTTTTGAAAAGCATTCATCGAATGCATGAGAAGCAGGATATAGCAATCAGGGGAACAGTAGCCATGCATATGTTTGTCCATGTTGGGGACAATATCTTGATATGTATTCTTGGGACGGTTATAGGAGCGATTCATTCAATGACATCTAACTGATGGCAATGCAAATTAAGATTTAATGAAGTTTATTGTAAACCTTACGCTCGTACCAACTTAGTGACCTGCTCTGCGCCTTGCGCAGCTCCACGCAGATGTGTGATTGAAGAGCCCCTCATGCAAAGCAAATCCCGAGAGTAGATCCCGCTAGGGGGACCGTCGGCTAGTCGTCTTTTCGGCTTCTAAAAGCGCTACCCCGGGACTAACGAACGCAGGTGTATTACTGATCATTCACTGCACGCCATTCAAACACCACGTCACGACCAAGCCGTTAGGGCTGTTATTTACGCCCTTTGGGTGGACGATTTGTCAAGATGCATGTGTCAGGTTCGATTTCGAGGCACTTTAAGCAGCAATGCCTGACTACGCTGCCAGAGCGGTTTTGCAGCACAGAACAATCCAGTCGAGCTGACTGAGAGACGTGCAGCGACAAATCACGACTCTGTGATTCCCGGTCGGAATATAAGGACGGCGAGGTGTCTCCAGGTCATTGGCTCATCGCCACTACTCAAAAAAGGCAAAGTCGACGTATGCGGTGCCTGAAACCATCGGGCACCTGGGTTCTCTTCATAGTTTTTCTATTACAACTACATATATCTCGAGTCCTTGCTCAGATCTTCATCGCCGAGCCACTCGGCAACTTGCCACGATACATCCCGCTTAACCTCACACATCAGAAGATGCCTACTCTGCACGAACATGTCCCGGGCGGCTGGCATGAAGGAGAACAGTTCATGCACCGCCTCCTGCACTCCAGCCGCCAGGGAAACCCCACGTCGTACGGCCTGCCGGCGCACTACGCCTACCGCGTGCAGGTGTCGGCGCTGGTTGCGTTCGGCACGCTCGACAGCCAGGGCAGGCCGTGGACGACAGTGTGGGGAGGCGAGAGGGGCTTTGCACGGGCCATTGCGCAGAACGTGTTGGGCGTTCAGACCCTTGTGGATAGGCGGTTCGATCCGGTCGTGGAAGCCTTCTTTGGGGGGAAGGAGGATGGTGAGATGGTGCGTCCGCTAAGGGAGGGCGATGATGCGCAGGTCATGGCTGGGTTGAGCATTGACTTGAGTACGCGGGACCGGGTGAAGCTTGCTGGACGGATGATTGCCGGGGCAGTCCAGGTCAATGGGTCCGAGGAGACTACGTCGGGGGATGAGAAGGAGAGGAAAGAAGAGCAGAAGGGGGCAGCTGAAGTCCAGCTCGCGATGATGGTACAAGAAAGCCTGGGCAACTGTCCAAAGTATCTCAACAAGAAGGAGATCCGCCCACATGTACCCTCACCAAGCCTCGTCTCCGATACTCTCCCACTACCCATGGAAGCCATGAAGCTCCTCGCGCGAGCAGACCTCTTCTTCCTGTCCTCCACGAGCGGCGAAACCATGGACACGAACCACCGCGGCGGGCCCCCAGGCTTCGTGCGCGTCGTGAGCAACTCGGCCAGCGACGGCGTCGTCCTCGTCTACCCAGAGTACTCGGGCAACCAGCTCTACCAGACGCTCGGCAACCTGCACGTGCGCCCGCTCGTCGGCCTCGTGGTGCCCGACTTTGCGTCCGGCGACGCCCTCTACCTCACCGGCGAGACGTCCGTCCTCGTCGGGCGCGACGCCGCCGCCCTGCTCCCGCACTCCAAGCTCGCGGTCAAGATCACCGTCACGGCGGCGCGCTTCGTCAGGGACTCGCTGCCGTTCCGCGGCGACGTGGTGGACTACAGCCCGTACAACCCGCCTGTGCGACGGCTGGCGAGCGAGCAGGCCGCGCTCGTCGCCCCCTCTGCGGAGGCGGCCTCGGGCCCGCCGGCGACGGCTACGCTGGTCAAGCGGGAAGTGTTGACGCCGAGCATTGCGCGCTTCACGTTCAAGCTGCGCCCCAGCAGGCCTGGGGCGCTGAAGCAGTGGAAGCCGGGACAGCACATCACGCTCGACTTCAGCGAGGAGCTCGACATGGGGTGGTCGCACATGCGAGACGACGATCCGAAGAGCCTGAACGACGATTTCGTGCGCACGTTCACCGTCTCGAATGCGCCGGGTGTCGGCGCCGATGTGCGTGACGGCGCGGAGCTGGAGATCACGGCTCGCAAGAACGGGCCGGCGACGGCGCTGCTGTGGAGGCACAACCTCCGGGTGCCGCTTGAGCTACCGGTATTTGGCTTCGGCGGTGAGGAGGCATTCCGGCTACCTACAGGCTCTACCAAGGATGGCAAGGAGGCAGTATTCATAGCCGGGGGCGTGGGTATCACGCCGGTGCTTGCTCAGGCGTCGGGCATTGTGGAAGGGGGCAGCCCATTGACGGTTCTGTGGAGCCTTCGAGCGGAGGACTTGCCCTTGGCTGTTGATACGTTCAAGAGACTACCAGGGCTGGCGGGCCGAGTCCGGCTGTTTGTGACGGGAAGGATTGAAGAGAAAGGACATCAGGCTTCAGAGAGCCTTGAGGCAATGGGGGCTACTATTGTGAAGAGAAGGATCCTCAAGACAGATGTGATAGAAGGCTCTGGCAAGCGCAGGAAGTACTACTTGTGCACGGCGCCGGAGATGTTAAAGGTGCTCACCAGTTGGCTAGAAGGAGAAGAGGTTATCTGGGAAAGCTTTGAATATTGAGTGAATTGGGAACTGTCGCCATGCAGGTTCCCTTGGTTGACGGTAACAGGGGATCGGACTGAGGAAAGAAAGGATTGGATAAAGGCGTTTCGGAGGATTGATGGAACTGTAGCGCATCATGATTTTTCACCCTATCAACTCACTTGTCTATTCCAAAGACTTTCTTGACGGCCTCTCTTTTTCGATCATCATATCTCAGTATTTTAAAGTGGTTCAGCCGTTTCAAAAAGGCATCTCGGGATTGCTCCGGCCCCAGTTCTGGAAGGGACCCGAGACACAGGACAACTCTGCAACACTTAGCTTATCTTTGTTCAAGAGACTTTGACTGAAGAGTTAGAGACCCTTGCAAAGTGTCTGTGTTGCAATCGAGGTAACCGGGAAATGGATCATTGTCCGGTGGGTGACTCAACTTGACAACCACGGCGAAAATGCCGGCGTTAACGGACTACCTTGACCTGCTAACTACCTACTATATGCGAATGAGCTCCACTGTCACATCCAAGATAGCTACGAGCCTACGGCTTTGTCAATGTTGACAACGATGCTGGGGCTAAGTTATGAGTATCGAGCTAAGACATCATTTCTACATTCTGGCCATACAATCAACTGGATTGAGGATTTGAATTCGTGATTTCCCCCAGTGATAGTTATACCGTTTAAGAGGCGTTGTGGACGAAAGCAGGTGATTGGCGATGGCCCGCGGGCGAGGCGATTTATTTCCTTTTCGGAGGGCGGGATTACGTAGGTTGGCGGAGGCGCAGGATCTGGCGCTTGGGCTTGGCTCTTCAGACTTCTGCAGAGTGTCTTGCGTGATGTGATGCGATGCAAGCGTTCGGGCAGGCCTGCGTGCGCCCTGCTTGCGCTGTCCCGTACCGTACCGTACCGTACCGTACATTGCACCGAACAGAAGCAATTCCCATCACAGAAAGTACCGGCAAGGCTGTGGCAGGGCTGCATTGGGTGGGCAGTTAATCAAATGATACATGTCACTTCTATGCCATATCCAAGCCACTGTCATAGCTACCCAGGTAAGTAGAGCCTTGCAAGGCCTGGTGAGAGGAAAGCAGGGTCCAGTGCGTGCAGAACAAGAGTCAGAGAGGGGGACCAAGTGACACCCCCACCCATTGTGTCGGGCCAGCCTCTTTTTCCCTGCTCGGCTACGACACTAAGACCTGCTTAGTATAGGTACAGTAACTACTACTAGAGAAGAGTTTCTTCACTCTTCTACTCATAATCTCATACTGGGAATAACTTTGCGCCCTTTTAGTCTCCTCCACTCCCTCCCACTTCACTCTCTTCGCTCCTCTACTAAAAATCACCTCAGAAAGCAGACATCCGGCGCCAAGCACCAGATTCCCCGCGACTCTGGCCCCGACAACCGGCGACTAGAAAGCCTGGACAGTGGACGCTGCTAAACTCTGCCCGCAAAGCACGACATCCTTCCTCTCTCTCCTCTTCTTAGCTTCTCCCTCCATACATACCACTCACATACTTACTTTCTCCACGCTATTATGCTAAGATAGCCTTCAATTGCTGCATCTTTTCCTCAATCCATTTTGCCCAGCCCAACTCTTGACGGGCCTGTGGCTATCTCAAGCCAGCGACAGCGACACCATCGCTGGGAACCTTATCGGGTGAGCGGGTGTGTCCCACCAAACCCCGCTGTTGCCTTGCGCTCGTCATCCCTCGACCTCGTCCCTAGTCACCATTACTCAGGCACATTCGAACCGCGAGTCTACAGCAACCATGACGGCCCCAATCGACCAGAACCCCCAGCATGAGCAGGACCAGGCACAGTCGGCCCCCGAGCAATTGGTGGCCGACAGCCAGATGTCCCCAGAGACATACCAGTTCCCCTCACAGCGGCTGGTGCGCCGGCAGAAGCAAGCAGGAAAGACACCACTAGTCCTCGTGGCGTGCGGATCATTCAGGTACGGGATCTCTTGCACTTGCCCTGCATGTGCAGCCCTTTCTAACGGACCTCCTCTGCAGTCCAATTACCTATCTACACCTCCGGATGTTCGAGATGGCCTCCGACTTTGTGCGATTCAACACCGACTTCGAGGTGGTGGGCGGGTTCCTGTCGCCCGTGTCGGACGCTTACAAGAAGGTTGGCCTTGCACCGGCGTATCACAGGTACGGCACCTTGATGGACGATGCTCTTGGGGGATGGAAGACTAACCGTTCCCTATAGGATTGAGATGTGCGAGTTGGCCGCGCGGGAAACCTCGACCTGGTTATCATGCGATCCCTGGGAAGCCATCCAGCCTGACTATGTTCCTACCGCAGAAGTCCTCGACCAGTATGTTCTCCCCACATGGCAAGATATGCATGGGATTATGGGTGCTTGGGAGGTGCAGACAAGCGTCGGCTACCGAGTTATATCCGAGGCACCTTCTCCTGGATCTATAAAGAGTCAGCCTCTTTATACTCCTAAGACATTTGCTAATTTACTGTTTTCAGTTTCGATCACGAGATAAACGAAGTGCTCGGTGGAGTGGAGGATGTGCATGGCAACAGGAGACCTGTGCGAATCGCCTTGCTGGCTGGTGCCGATCTGATCCAGACCATGAGCACCCCGGGCGTATGGTCACCTCGAGACCTGGATCATATCCTTCGCAAGTACGGCACTTTCATCATTGAGCGGAGTGGGACCGACATCGAGGAGGCCCTGGCAAGTCTGAAGCAGTGGCAGGAAAACATCTACGTCATTCAACAGGTGGTGCAGGTACTGTTGCCCCAAACTCCACTCTTGTACTGAACCAGTGCTAACATTAGCTGCTCAGAATGATATTTCCAGCACAAAAGTCAGGCTGTTCTTGAAGAGAGACATGTCTGTTCGGTACCTCATTCCCGAGCCAGTCATTCAGCACATCGAGAAGAATCACCTTTACGAAGACCCCAAGAAGAAGGAGGATGACGACAAGGACAAGGGCAAGACACTGTCCAGCGATGCCGCCTCGCAAACCGACGAACCTACAAAGGCTGAGTCGAGCAGACATGCGAGTGAGGGCTAGTGATTCTTTAGCTAAGAGGATGCACCTTGGGGTTTTTCAATGTGTATGCTCAAGAGCCGATGTACAGATTTTGTATACCCAACAAGAGCTCCCTTCGTGGTGAGCTAGGGTGGCTATCGTGTTTCAGTTATTCGCATTGCGATCTAGACCGACGGTATCAGTTCCCCCAAGGCTGCAAGTCATAGCGTTTTTATCTTCAGAGTTTCCTATGACTAGCTTTGGGCCGCGGGTCGGAGGGGTTTATTGACCCTTTGTCAAATAGCGGGAGGTGGGACTTTTGTGTGGAAAGAGCAAGGAGATACCTCAGCGAGAGAAGCGAGCGAGAGCGCCTGTTTTGGCTAGCACGGGAGCGGGCGAGAAGAGCGAAAGAGGAGATGGGATCACTGTCTTTTGTGTGTTGTCGGGCGTTTGTGGACTTGCAGATTTGCGTTAAAGTCATATGATGAATGACACGCAGTTAACTATACGATGCGATATGGAAATGAAAACCACTCTTCTCTCGTTTGAGAGACTCCTGCATATCTTCACCCAGTTCCTTCCCTCCTCATACCAATATGGCAAACTCGTGACTTTAAAGCAGACTACTTTCTCATATGAAGACATTTCACTCGAGCTCAAGTCACTTATACAGCCACAGATGAGGAACAGCGATATTTTCCGAGACAAAGCCCACGTGAGCCTATTCCAATATTTCCCAAAGCTATCTATCAGGTCGCTATATACATATACATGCAATCATTGCTCTGTTCCCATCCCATAGTCTCGGCCTTTCATATATGCATGATAATGGCCGTTCACAGTCTAAATAGTTGTTCAGCAACCCCAGCTTGCTTGCCTTTCTTCGACAATAAATAATTCCCATGATTCCCCATCCCATTTTGATGCGCCGTGAAACCCAAAGAAGTTCGTACTTCAGAAAGCAAAAGATAAGAGACCTCAAGTTGAGGTTCTCACTACAGATAGATGGATGCCCACGCCTCGTATGCAATGCATGATAAATAATCGTGTCGTTCAGTTCAAAGCATCAGCAACATCAACAGTGCCATGTTCATATCATTAGAGGCATCCTCAAAGAATGGCCACTCTACACGGTGGCTTACTACGAGGAAGCGGTCGAAAACACCGCCAACGGCACTGCTGTAGCACCCGTAGAAGTAGCGGCTGATCTGCTGCTCTCCGCCTCCCTGGTGTCGTCGGCGGCGGTCAGTCGACAATCTCCTGGCTGCTGCTGCTCCCCGAGCTGGAGGTCACGCTCATGGACCGCCGCGCGAGCGTCACCAGCCTGTAGATGCCGAAGGAGATGAGGGCCAGCAGGATGAAGAGCACGATGATGATGACGGCGATGACGTCGTTTTGTTTCATGGTGGGCGGGTTTGGGGCGCGGAAATGTCTTCCGTCAGTGAGAGACGGGGTAGCGGGTGACACTGCCTGGTAGAAAGAAGCCCGGTCGATGGGAAGCGAGGCTCGACGGAAGCGTTTGAGCGGGCAGCGGGATGGACGACGACTGCAATGGAATGGAAGGCTTCTTTGAGAGAACGAGTTAGTCTGGTGAAGGGTTCCGGATTCGTCTGAGATGTCTCAACTCACTGGAATGCTTCTGTTCGTCTCAAGAGTCCTTTTTGTTCGCACACGTTAATTGACCGGGGCGGTGGCAGCGAAGTTGGGCAGGAAGATCGACCTTGGATGATTGATTGATGCAGCGACGTATCGGTTGTATGAAGCACTCTTCTTCTCTTTTCAGATGAATATCGTTTTGATTCAAATCGTCGGACACTTCAGATTTACAATTCAGCAATAGAGAGAGAGAGACCAGAAATGGAATGCAGGCTGCGCCGGCAGAGCTGCAGCTCCCCAAGAAATATGGTGGTTGCCCCGCCACCTGTTTCTGCAGAGTCAATAAAAATGGCAAGGCTGGGCTCGCTGGTGCTGGCGTCTGCCCAGGTTGCGCCCGCCAACCACCACCTAACAAGGGTTTTAGCAGGGGTCTCGGACCCCACTGCACTGGTTTGCGCTCACTGAGGCGACCCTTTCCCAGCCTCACATCGTCGTCAGACTTTGGGATCCGCCGTGCAATCAGCTGTTGACTGGAAGGATTCTGGCTGGCTTCCCGGCGGGCGTGCGTGCGCCTTTTCACATGATTTCAATTTTGCAACGACGCGCGCAGCTTGGTGTTGCGGGCCATCTGACTTAAAGTAAGCTTCTGGAACTTCAACGGCTAACGGTCCGCTTAGGCAGTTATAGCTCATGTGGAGAGCTCTCTGCCAGGGACCGGCGATCAGCGCCGCGCACGAGCTCGAACCGATCTTGAGCCTCGACCTTTTCCAATCCCTGTCACCGCTGACGTCAAATTGATATGAAAACCTCACTGAACGTCAATCTGAAGACGATACGATCTTTGAAGATGGTGTATTCTGCTAAATCCACGAATGGATAATTGCCGCCGTTGCTATTGCAAGGCAGAGGTGTGAGTCTACGCGCACGCTGCCTGGTGCCAGCCCTCCAGTGGGCGACTTGCACGACGGGCGCCTACCTAGATGTTACTGGAAGTAGTAATTACAGCAAACATGATGAGCCCAACACCTTTTTCGAGAAACAACCTGCCATTCAACGCCCATGTGAAGCCATTATCGTGCCAAGTGTCTGAGCATGCAACAGGAACTCCCGCTGCCTTGGGATATATGATGGAAACTCGATCTATCTGCCATCTCTAAATCTCTCCTTTTTGGCTATCAGCCAAGTCTGAGATGCCATAGCCATGGCTTTTCTCAACAGATCAGCAAGCCAGAGATATTTCGATGGGAGTCTCAACTCTTTTATTGCACTCATTGGGTAGAGTGGTTAAGCGGGACGACCTCGCCATCTCTCGCGATGCGGATGTTGCGCTCATAGAAACGAAGCATCTGGGTCATATGTCAGCTTTCCTGAAGCGCTCTAGGCATTTCACAAGAACATCCTACCTTCTGGGGACATCTCCTATATATGACCTCCTTCGGATGCTGCGTCTTTTGTCCATTCTTCCAGGTGAGATAGATGATTAGATCGCCCTTCTCCTCGTCCTGGCACGCATCGATGGATTCAACCGCATCCTCCCAGCTTCCGCTCGGGACTTTCCACTCTGCCACCTTGGCGCTGGCTGGAGGAGTGCTGTCTGCCGGGTGGACGCCGTTCTTGCGAGATCGCTTTGCCGGTGCAGCATTAGGTGTGGAAGAACTGGGTCGGCCTCGCTTCTTCGTCTTCAGGGCCTTGTCGACATCCTCAAAGACCTTGTCACGGCCACCAATGCTCTCTAGGTACTCGTCGAGGACATCTGAGGCGCTCTCTCTGCAAGGAAAAACGCTTTAGTTACAAAATCGACGAGGTCAAAGGGGGGCGCTCACCTAAGATTGTCTTCCGGCTCCCAGGTCATATCTGACTCGCTGTCATAGCCCTCCCACTTCACATGAAACAGGAGTTTATTCTGCTATGTTGTTAGCGAGAAAAATATCAGGAATTAAGGTGAATTGCACCTTCTGGATCATATGTGCAACGATCTTCTCGACGACAAACCTGCCATGCGATCAGCTGTGTGCCCGACCTTAGTACCCTTTCATCTGGAACTCTTACACATCGTCGTCGCCCTCCTCACCGTCTTCGTCTTCCTCATCGTCGTCGCCGTTATCACCATTAGTATCAGCGTCCTCGACGGTCTTCACAACCTCGTCCTCCTCGTCCTTAACGTATTCGTCGTCTGGTTCTTGGTACTTGACAGAGGTTCGCTGGCGCTTCGGCTTCTTGGCAGCGCTGCTGCTGCTGCGCTCAACGCTGCCGTCGGACATCTCCTCGTCACTGATGGCTAGGGTTGATAATGTTAGATCCATTTCCGAGCTTGTGTTGGTGGGAAGGAGCGGTGCAGGAGCTGAGGCGCGTTTGCGACCGATCTGGTGTGATTGGATTGCGCCCGCGATTGCGATCAGTGGCACTTACCCGGCGGCATTTTGGTATGTAATCTGTTTGTCGCAGAGGAATGAAGTTAGACAACCATATGCAGTCCCAATACGCTCCGGGAAACGGTCGCAGCTTAACGATGGTGACGGTCGTGTTTGGACGAAGTTGAGAAGCTGGCGGGAGCTTCCAGTAGCTTGAACGTGTCGGACGCGCGAATGGGTGGCTGAATTCAAGAATTGGCAGTCGCAGGTGTGGCTCTGGTGCACGGGCCAGGGCCAGGACTGTACGTACTAGTGCTAGATGGAGGGGTGACCTCACTTTTTAGCGATATCGATATCGGACGATATAGGTGGAACATATAGGCACGAAACCATATTGGGGCTGACTATCAACAATTGACAACTTCCTACACTACATACGTCCAACAAAAGAAAGTCTTTCAAGCGAGTTTACCATCTCGTACGTATAGCATATAATTTGATTAACCGTTCTGTCTTCGGGTTTAAATTCTAGGAACTAATGACAAAACTACGATCTATACAGTAAGCCTTGGCTACAATAAATGGATAGATTTCCATCAGTCCCGTGACATTAGGCAGGCTTCCATATCTCCTGACTTGGGATAAATTTCAACAACTAGAGAGAATTGTTTCTTGGCTCTATGTCAGAACTTTATGGATGTGTTAGGAAATTGTCACAAGAAGTAGAACCGCAGGCGGGTAACCTAGCCACAGAATTGCTTGAGTTTGAAGTTAGATATGTTGAGATGTATGGTATAGTTGCTAGGTGATCGCGACGGAATACCATGCTGATCAGGCAACAGACCCCAGCATCTCCCAGACAAGTCAATCGCAGTGAACGAACGAAGTTGATCAACAACCTGAGTGAGGTCAACATTGACTACAATGTCGATACCACAAGTGCTATGCGATACATGCTTTCTCCTGGTTGAAAGAGGTTTCACCTTGCTAGAGAAGATAGTTCAGCATGATACATCTGCGAGCTTCTTGGCGGCAGCCGAAGCAGGGTGTATGATTTGTCGTCCCGCCTATAATAGCCCAGATTTGGATTTCTTGAGATCGCAGCTTCTAGTTCTTGGGCACAGAGATATGGGCAGTCCAACCTCCTAAGGAGTGATTACATGGATCAAACTCGTGCCCTCACATGTAGATGGCCTCACGGACATGCAAACAACTCTGAATACCGACCATATAGATCTCACCTCTCTCTGCGCTGAAGGGCCGTCAGCGTTCAGACGTCCTCCCAGTTAGTCATCTCCAATCGTGGATTTAACAACGAGACAGGTATTGATCCTAGAATCAATATTCCGTTTGGTCGATTTCTAACACGCTCCTGCGTAGTATTTGCTAGCCTCACTTCAAATCAACCACTACTGCATCTGTCCAGGCATGGAAAATTGCTCAAAGATGGTTGAAAAATTGCGAAAGCCAACATATTCTCTGTCAAGAGAGAAGAGGTACCACCCTATGGCATCCTACTCGATTGCTCGACATTGGAATCGAATTCAAACTCCCATTATGGTGCTTTCTTGTTGAAAATTGCGATCTGGATAAAAGCCAACCATACGTTACCTTCAGCCATCGTTGGGGTCACGCTTCATTCCTAAAACTACGGCCGGAGAATTTCGAAGAACTAAAACATGGCATTCCGATTTCTTTGCTTCCCAAGACATTCCAAGACGCGACAACCGTGGCCCGCTGAATGTCTATTCGATATATATGGATAGATTCTCTATGTATCATCCAGGATGATTCCATGTCAGACTGGGCGCAGGAAGCAGCAACCATGGATATAGTCTATACAAGAGCGTATTGTAATATCTCCGCGGACTGGTCCGAGGATCCCTCCAAAGGACTCTTTCGAAGCTATGTACCTACATTTAAGCGCATGAAGAAACTCAGGGCCAAGCTGCCTCTAATTGCCACGATACTACAGTCGAGACAAGATGCAAGGCATTTCCACCCTGAACCATATGTGGCTCCGGCTGCGAACTACACCTGGGACGAAGAGGTCCGAAACGCGCCGCTGAATAAAAGAGGGTGGGTGATGCAAGAGAGATTACTGGCGGCTCGAATCCTTCACTTCTGTCGTCAGGAATTGTATTGGGAATGCTGCCAGGAGAACGCCTCAGAGAGATTTCCCCTCGGCTTAAAAGAAAGTTCAGACAAGATCTTGAAACGACGGAATCAGATAATACAAGAAAATCATTCTGGAAACCTCTACCGTGACACCTTACGAACTTGGTATGAAATTGTGCAGACGTACACCGAGTGCCAACTTACCATACCCTCAGACAAGTTGATTGCAATTTCCGGTGTGGCGAGACATATGAAGCCATTGATGAACGATCAATACATTGTTGGGTTATGGAGGTCTTCTCTTTGCGCAGGAATTGCGTGGATGCGAGATTCGCCGAAGGCTGGAGCTGACAAACGCGTACTTTATACACCGTCACAAACAACCTTCCCTGAAATTGCGTTGAGTTTCAGCTGGGCATCGATCGATGGTAGGGTTCTCATGACGATGTCGGGATTCCAATGCAATCAAATGAAAATAGATTGTGTCGATGTACGGCTCGACTCTAGCGGAAGAATGGACATGGAGAATTGTCCTCCCATCATAGACGATGTCTTTTCTTTGGAACCAAAACAAATAGGTCCACATATTGGTCATGGGACAACTTAGAAGCATGAATTTGAGGCATGACGATAACTCTCAGAGATGGGTTATCCCTTCAGCACAGCCAACAAGACAATCCTCATCGAGAACCCTTCTCCAGACAGCGGACTTTGATTTTAAGGCATTCTTGGACTTCGAATCGACCGAGGAGCTGAGGCTATTGCTAACTTCGAACGTCAAACGTTTTATTACATGCCTTGGCATATTTCAAACATGAAGAATTTTCCATGGCTCTCCTTCTTCATGTTGTAGAACCCATCGATGGTATCTATCGACGGATCGGGCTTGGGATCGGTCGATTTAAATGGGAGTCGGACGAGGGGTTTGCTTACCGACGGCCCAAAGGTGATGAGAGCTGCCTACCTTGTTGTAAGTATGACGAAAAAAGTGACACATATCAAGTGTTGATTAGATAGCTCACCTCACTGTTCTTGATCTTTGGGCTGATATCTTTGAATGGGGTGTTGAGTTGGAAAATGAGGTCTGTCTATGGGGCAAAGACTGCGCTCCTCGGCTCAGACTCGGCCACTTCAGGCCACCTCATTACATTAGTTAGCATCTTACTACCTGCCAGCAGTATATACCATTGAAATACAACCTTTTGCTCCCGTTGGATCGAAGGTTTCCTTTATGCGTATGTATGTGCTTATGTGTAGGAGTATCGATTATCCTTATGGTTGGTCAGCGGTCGTGTTAATCCATCGCAAGATCACGGCACGCTTTTGCCGGACCAGGGATGAAAACTCCATGCACACTCTTGGTCAGAGTTTAGATATCAAAGCTGATTATATGCCTTCCGATACCGGGTAGACTTGGCTGACTAAAGGCATATACAAGTCCCCGGTATGTAGTGCGAATATAAATCTAATACCCTAATTTCGTGCTAACATACGTGCCTGAAGCTGTAATCTTTTGGGAAGAGCTGCTATCATATAAGCTGAAGCCCAGAGAGTGCGGAAAGATCAAGTTGCGAAGTCTATCACTTCCCTGTCCATTTTCTTCGTAGCTCCAACGTTGAGCTTCTCACTGAGCGAAGCACGCATCAAGTAGGACATCAAGGTTTAATCGACAGGTTTCTTTTTTTCTTAATTCACTTTTAACAGTCAAGTGTCTGAGATATGGACATATTCTAGCACTTCACATGACAGAAGCTAAGCAAAGGTATGCGGGGGAGCTGGAGGAGCTCATTAAACTAAGCTCCAACATGCAGGACAGACTTTTTGCGCGACTACGGCACGGCAGCATGATGTAGGTTAGATTGGTAGGCAGTCTAGTTAGCCGTGCATACACGATGGCTTCATCAGCGTCGTTATCTGACTAGCTCCACGCCGAAAGCCGGTTTCTGGACGCTTGTCTCTCGGTTCGCGAGCGGTGTCGTCTGTCGTTGCCTTGATACGGCGCCGGACCGTTGGACGTCGAAAAGGCCCCAATTGCTTCCTTTGGGAATCATCCCCATTTGCCGGGAGGCGCTACGGTAGGCTAATGGAGACCTCACGTTCATGCCCCTGGGAAACTATCGCTTTTCCAGGGTCCGCGATGGTCCTCTTCGTCTGTGGGTCCGGATGTAACACTCCCAGCGCGCAAGCGCAGCATTTGATTGTAGCCACTTGAAGGACGAGGTCGACTTTGGTACTATAGGTTGCAATAGTACGCCATGGCAAGGCATGGCAAGGCATGGTATCGTATGTGTCCACAAAGAGATCAATTCCTTGGAAGAGGAATGGAGATGGGAGCAAATATCAATATCCATGACACGTTGTTAATAAGAAAGGATGCAGCTTTCTCCAAGGCTGCATTGGACCAAGCATAAGCGCCATGCCGAAAGCATGTAACATGCAGATCGAGGACAAGGTGACCGAGAAACCGAGGCAGGACCGACTGCAAAACGGCCGTTGGTTCAAGGTTCATCAGATGAGGCCCGAGAACACATGAGAATGAACAGACACGAGCAGAGCCTTGAGAGGGACCTTGGCTACGATCAGGTCTTCCATGTGAGAACTGAACATGCGCGCCTCCGAGACACGGCAGAGACAGGGCGGTGCCGAGTAGAGGAAGCTGCAACAAAGACCTTCCAAGTAGGGACACGATATTTCGCGAATGATGCATCTCGACGCCTTCTCGTGTCAAATTGGCCCCTCTTGAAGGCGGTGCCAAGCTCTCCTCCTGTAAGAGGACATGGCCCCCCGTTTCTCCACGTCAAATGATCGTCGCTGTCAGCTCTACTTTGATGCGT